TTAATTAAATTAATTAAATTAAATAGATTAAATGAATTAAATTAATTAAAATAATTAAATTAATTAAATTAATTAAATTAAATTAATTAAATTAATTAAATTAATTAATGTACTTTAATTAATTTAATCTATTTAATTTAATTAATTTAATTATTTTAATAATTAATTTAATTAATTTCATTAATTTAGTTAATTTAATTAATTTAATTAATTTATTAATTCAATTGATTTAATTAATTTAATTAATTTAATTATTTAATTAATTTAATTAATTTAATTACTTTAATTAATTTAATTAATTTAATTAATTTAATTACTTTAATTAATTTAATTAATGTAATTAATATAATTAATTTAATTACTTTATTTTAATTACCCAAGACACTAGCGTCATATGATACAGAAAGGTCCTACGTACAGAATGTTATAGGCGGTTCCACCGCACGTGGCTCAATAGCGCGCACACAAAGCACACCATGAAGAGGGCCTCTCTGCTTCCTTGCGTCCGCCCCATGCCGGCTTCGGGCCACATAGCATGCCAGGAAAACAGAGTGTGATCGGACCTGCCCGGATCTTCAGAATGGATGGCAAGACCCCGCCCCAGTAACACAACAACCCCTGAAAGCTAACGAAAGACGTCATGTGGGACGTGACCCATCATTCTATATAGGTTAACTACAGGCACAACCTGAACCGAGTCGAAGGCCTGAAGGCTCGTGCAATCTTGGCCAGGCAGAGCTTGGGCCAAACCCCACACGTCAGCAACTGTACCGTTTTCAAGGTCCTCGTGTGGGACACACTTGCGGATCATGTCAGCATGTGAACAGCATGGGCTTACCCTGTACAGAACCACACGGTGATACACAGACCCCTTCGGAAGGGGTCGACAGGAAGCTCGCAGCTTTATCGCGGTCTTTTGCAAGCATGAAGCGGGAGTGTCAGTGCAAAACGTTGCAAGTGCACGCTTGCTAGACACAATGAAACTTGTGCTGCACAGTACCCGCATCGTTTGATTTTAGTGCATACGTTGTGCGAGCCCTTTACCGTGAGTACACAACAATCTGATTGATACATGAGTCTAGGTGATTCTCAAAGTCGGAAACAGGCATATGACCAATACCCCTAGCGATAAAGCTGCATCGCAGCGCAGCTGGAGAAGAATTGTTAATACCATCCCTCAATCAAAGGCATAGGCGCCGATGGCGCAGATTGACACTGCAAGAAGGTTCCAAGCATCTTGCAGCACTGCGCTGGGTACTTCTGTGAGCAAAGTCTGGAAGAGACGGCAAAAGAGCCGCAGTGCCTGGCACTCCATGCTGCCAGGCGGCAAAAGGCCTGCACAAATCTTGCAAGGTAGCATTCAGGAGTGCGGCTTCCTGGTCAACGAAGAGATGCCAACGGCCATCTGTGACTGTGACAGAGGGCGGGATCGAATTCTGAAGCTGCAGATCAGATAGCTCGGCAAGGAGCAGCGCAGGCTGCTTCACCAAATCGAGTAGCTCTTCCAATAGACCGAGCTCGTCAAGGAGGCAAGCAAGCGTAAAAAGGTCTAGTTCTTGCAGCCACTCCTTGAGAGAAGCAAGCAAAGTGCTACTGCTTGGCCCAACAAGTTCAGCAGCTGCTGTTCTTGAGGCGGCCTGTGATTCGCGCAAGAATTCTACGGCAGTCACCTGCCACTCCGTGCACTGTTCTTCCTCCGCTGCACGAGATCCTTCAGCTGCGTGTTGGGAGCGGGTGCAGCAACACGCCCAAAGCCACGGGGAGCAGGCCAGAGACAGCTACACTGTCACACCCAGCGGGTCTTCAGAAATCGGAAAGGCGTTACGTGGTTTCAACGTGGTTCAAACATGATCAAAGCTGAAGACTATAGGGAGTGGGGCGGAATGCCCTACTGGGGCCTTGCCTCCGGTCGATCCCATCACCAGGCTTCTTCGGTCATCAGCCTCAGTTCCATCATGCGCGCATGGTTCATAGCACTGTCCGAACGCGACGCTACGTTGTACGCACAATAGAATTCAGACTGTTGGTCTGAGACTCGGGAGTGGGGGGGGGGAAGTTGCAAGCTATCGAACGCCAGCCCACAAACCCAGTGGCCCTACACCTCTGTTTGCCGGCAGCTTCTCGGCCAAGGCTTTGGCCAGAGTTCAGGCGTGTGTGGAGGTCCTGGCTGCCAGAGCGAAACCCGACTGACGATATGAACCAAAGCTAAGACAAAGAGTCGAGCTTGGTGTATTTGTGTCTGCAAGCAAATCAGAGAGATACTCTGGCTCCTCGAAAGTGAACAGACCAGCCGGACTCGCCACAAGCCGATCAACAGCACTACGTACTTTTCCTACTGAACCAGACTGTTTAGTTCTGCGAGGCCCTGGGTCAACGTCTGCCTCGCAACGCGATTGCCAAAGCACGGCTTCTTCCGCCCGCTGATGCTTCGGAGACGCCACCTCCTTAGCACGGACGCAGCAGCAGTGAGCAAATTTAGTGAGGTTAGCCCCGTGACCCCCAAATCTAAATCCCCACGCCGCACTTTTGCTGGTTCGCCCGAGTGATGTTGTCGTAGGGCTGAATCCAAAGAAGCGCATCTGTGGCACTTGTTACTGAAGTCAAACCGTGTTGCTGAGGAGACAAGCCTACCGCTACTTATGAGGGTGGCGCAAAATCTCAGCCATAAGCGCATCCAAGCAGTTAAATGAGTTAAATGTCTGTAAGAGCCTGGATTGAAGCTGCAGGCAGCTTAAGCCACTGGAGCCCATGCTTTGCTGTCGCACCCGAATTCGCAAGCAGGTCGTGGTCACACTGCTCACAGCATCAGGTGGCCAACCGTATCACTGGCAACAGCTAGCTAAGCATGCAACCTAGTGACATGCGCCCGCGTACTCAACACAAGCCGCAAACAAAGGCTGTCACAGGACAACATCATGGCCATTTAACCTGCTATTTGGGTGTCTGCTGAACCGGAGGCCTTGTCGCGAGGAACCTTCTTACATACGATTGTCACAGACCTCCTCGCGTAACTATGGTTGATGTCGAAGTGTAGTCACCCAAATTTGGTTGCGGACAGCGTTTAGTTGGGGGTCGCCTTGAACTTGAGGCGAATAGAAAAGCCACCACCAACAATAACAAAGTAGCTGTTAAACAAAAAATGATGCAAACTCCCCACATTTACATAGACTTCGTGCTAGCGCACATACTGAAACGTTAAACAGAAAGACGATGCAACCTCCCCACATTTACATAGAGTTCGTGCTAGCGCACATACTGAAACGGTAAACCAGAAAGACGATGCAAACTCCGCACATTTACATAGAGTTCATGCTAGCGCACATACTGAAAGAAGCCACGGAAGGGGGTTGTTGGCTTCAGTGTATGTTCCGAATGATGCTGCTATGTTGCCTGCACGGGCAGCCTAGAAGCAAGCACTTCAGTTCACACACGGGATCTGTCAAATCACAGCCAGCTCTAGGGGAGAGCACTTCCATAAACGGTCGGTAGCTATGGAGGAGAGCATTTTGCGAAGATCGGCGGCCTACTCTAACAGACCCCAGCCAGCTATGGCGGGAGACCACTGTAAAAGATGATCGGCCAGCGAACCTAGTAGCCAGCTCTGTGTAAGAGCACTTTAAAAGGATCGCCCGCCAAGTATGGCCTAACTCCCAGCCGGGCTATGGGGGAGAGCACCTAGCAAATCCTTAGGCCAGGTCTCTGCGATGCCATTTGGACCCTTGGATCCAGTGATGGCCCTATTAGAAAATGCTCTGCCCCATAGCTGGCTGGGAGTTGCTAGGGTTGTCGGACTAGTTTACGTCACCGACAAAGTCTAGGCGCCAGAACGCACTTCAGGTTTTTCTGCAAGGCCTCCATGCCCCACATGTTCTAGGTATGCTGTAACATCATTGGGGGCCTTACGGCAGCAAAGCTGGAACATCTACACCAAAGAATTCAAACTATGGATTTGGGTAACAGGCGGAAAAAGGTCTGCACACACACATACATTACATACGTACGTACGTGCATACATACAGACATAAATACATTACATATGTTCATGCTCTATGTTCGTCATAGCCATTTGCACAAGTGCTTGCGCGAATCTAGCGCTATGCTTGCGCTTACATTTACATGGAGTGGGGGTGGCGCCTTCTAGCGAAGACTAAAAACTGATCCACAACCAAGGTTCATGGCTGCTCTGCGCGAGAGGTTTCTTTAACGAATGACAAAAAATAGCAGCGTGCCTGCAAATAGTGTCGCA